TGGCTTTTCAGGAGGGAGAACATTGCCATCTGCTGTCCCTACCACATCCTGGTGGTGCTGCTGCTGCTTGGTCCTCAGCTGCTTATTCATCAGAGTTACCACTGCTTCTTTCACAGCTAAGCTTCCCTGAAGGTCATTCCACTATCTGCCACCTGTGGATGCACTGGGTAGCAAGACAGCTCTGCAACTGAGAGGGATTGCCTATGATGATCTCACACACGTGTGCGTGCAGACACTTTATATGTGTGTGTTTATATACACGTATAAACCGTGTGTGTGTACTGTTACCCAGATAACAGATAACCTTGTGGGTAAGCTACTGGTAAAAGAGACAGGAACAGCTCTACAGCCAAACCTTTTATATGCTTGCACTCTAAAACATGAAAACAAACATTTATTGTTTCACTGAAACTTTTGGAACTGAACCGAACCACATCTCTTGTGGAGTTAGAAGGTGTTGATTAGTTAGGATTTACATACTTGGGAAAGAGAGGGAGGGTTTCTTATCTCCTTTCCTTTCCATTGTGGAATATTGTTCAATGCTGACCTGTTTCTTCTTAGTTTATGGTCTTCTCTGAGAAGGCTGTTTTTATTTTTACAAATTATTTAAGCATCTTAACAAAAATATATCTATTACAGCAAAATAACATCTAATAACTTTGGTTACATCAGTCACTACTACTAATATTTTTAAGATAAAGCTATGATACAGTGTATATGGATTATTTAATGCACGGACTTCCCTTATCTCCTTTCAGGTTTTGTGCTTTATTTAATTGTGCTTAATGGCTTCCTTTATATGCAGACCAAGTTAGTTCTCACATCTACAAAGGTTCACAGGACAATCACTCAAACAGGCTTTGGGGCCTTGTGTTTTGCAGTACTTCTCTAGCTTGGCTTAGGCCCCTTGAAAATGGCCCAGGTTGGCAACAGAACATATATAAAATGCGTGCACGTGTGTGTGCATATATACTCTGTGTGTGTATGTACACATATAAGCCTCATGTGTTTGTGTGTGTACACATATAACCCAAAAGACTCTCTGTATGCCTGAAGAAGGGTGTTTGTGCCCAAAAGCTTGCAAAGAACAATTTTTCCAATTATTTAGTTGGTCAAATAAGATATCACATCCACCCAAAGAACATTGTCTACACATATAAACTGTGTGTGTGTATGCACACATATAAATTGTTTGTGTATGCACACAAACCTTGTGTGTGTACGTATAAATACACTGTGAATGCTCTTGTGTTTATGCACGTCTATACCGTGTGCTCACACATGTGTGTGTTGCAGACTGTTAGCTATCATAGGAGACCAGAGCTCCTCTCCCTCTTAACAAAAGTATTGTAGTCGCTGTAGTGACAGGTTCTCTTGCAACCTCTTATTTCAGTGATGTCCCAAATAAAAAACCTTTGCTTAGTTAAAGGCAACTGGACTGTTTCTTACCAGGCAGCCAACCCAGGTGCCAAATGCATCAGAAAAAGATGAAAGAAATCCCATAGTGGATAAACGTATATGTGTGTGTGTGTATATAGCATAAGCTTTCATGAGCTGAAATTCACTTCATCAGATGCTATGAAATGATGTGCAGAAAGCAGAGTATAAGAAGGCGAGTGAAATTAGAATACAAAAGACAAGGGAGTTGTGGGGTGGGGGGGGTACTGGGAGAGACAAGCAAATGAACATTAAACCAGCATAAACAAAGGAGTTACCAAAACTAACCAAGGTAATGGGGTAAGAATCCACAGTCTGTTTAAACCAGACTTAACATAATTGAGTCTGTGGATGATTTGGTCTGCAATTTTTTGCTCACAAAAGCTATACTTATATATCTACTTTGGTTTGTTTGTAAGGTATAAATCTACCCTGCCTTCAGTCTGAAGTCAGGCAGAAGGCAGGATAGATTTGTACCTTACAGACTAACCAAGGAAGACCCACACACACCCCAGAAGCTTTGTGAGTCCATTGTCATGTTCATCAGGTGGTATGAAAGGACAGCATGGAACAGTGTATAAAGTGGAATGGGTGATTAGAATATAACAGGTAGAGAAGCAGGAAGGAGGGGGCAGGGGAAGGGCTATGAGGTATACAAGAAAAGAACTTATAGGAACACAGGTGTCACAAAAACCAATCCAGGTAATGGGATAATAATCTGTAGTTGCTGTTTAACTCATACTTAACACAGTTTAGTTTTGGATAATTTCTTCTTCTGCAGTTTCCGATGGTACCATGGTTAAGAATCTCTGGGAGAAAATGTTTTAACTGCATTTTGTTCTGTCAATATTTTAATGCTCATTGTTGCTTGATAGCTCAGTACTAAGTTGAAACTTACTTGTCTTATTTACTACATATGGAAGTCAAATACAGTCTATTTTTTTTTCTTTTAGAGAGATTATAACGAGCCCTGTGTACAATGTTCTGATGTAAACTGGGGTCTTACCGACGAAGGCAAATTTTATTGTAAATCTTGTCACAATGTTATAGAGGTAAGTAAATAAACTCTCCACTCCCCTCCATCACTTAAAACTAGTGAATTTTCATTTGGATTACTACAAGATGCAGACAACATTATGGATCTTTTAATTCTATGGCTAAATTATGCTGTTAAAGATACTGCACCCCCAAACAATGAGAGAGAGGTGAGCAAAAGGTGCCATGCTATTGTGGCTAGATTGTTTCCAGGTCTCATTTAGAACATAGTTAAGTATCTCTACACTATATGATATACAGTATAGACATGATTAGTTGCATCATCCATATACAATCATAGTTTTCTGTTTGTCATTCTTCAGTTTTAAGTTTTAAACTTATTTCTATCTTATTCTTTTCTTTAATTAGGTGAAATGATGCAACTCATAGAATCACAGAAAATTAGGGTTAGAAGATACCTCAGGAGGTCATCTAGTGACCAACCCACTGCTCAAAGCAGGAGCATCTCCAACTACACCATCCCACCCAAGGCTTTGCCTAGCCAGGTCTTAAAAACCTCTAAGGATGGAGATTCCACCCCCTCTCTGGGTAGCCTGTTTTAGTGCTTTACTACCTTCTAGTGAGAAATTTCTTCCAAATATCTAACCTAAACTTCCCTTGCTGCAACTTGAGACTATTTCTCCTTGTTCTATTTATCTGCCACCACTGAGAACAGTCCAGTTGCATCTTCTTTGTAACCACTGTTCAGGTAGTTGAAGGCTGCTATTAAATCCCCTTTCAGTATTCTCTTTTCCAGACTAAATAAGATCAGTTCCTTCAGCCTCTCCTCATATGTGATGCCACAGCTCCCTAATCTTTTTGTCCACATCCTTTATGTGATGTGGGGCTCAAAACTAGAAACAGTACTCTAGATGTGGCCTTGCCAGTGCTGAATAGAGGAAAAGAATCAGTTCTGCTGGCAGTGAGGGTTCTTGCACTAAATGTTCTGGCTCAGGTAGCCCATGCAAATTAGATGTTGCTGTTTTCTTACTAACCTCCCTTTTTATTTTGCAGAGAACTAAAGAGGTTTTAGTTTCTGATGCTATTCCTAATACCAAGATCCAGTCACTCTCCAAAGGATTAAGAAAGAGGAAAAAAATTGGTATGAAGATTTCTTAATATATTATTTCTACTAACACATCTTTCTAGATTTTCAGTTTTTCAGGATAACGATATACTAATTTTAAGTGTTACCATCATAGTTCTTGATGGCAAATTAGTTTTTTTTCCTATAATTGGCCCATGTGTAGGTGCTTTATATGGATATTGGAGGTGGTTCAGTCCTGGTATGAAATTTGTATAATAAAGAAGAACAAAATGTGCATACCCAAGATAGGACAAGAAGTAAAGGTAGTTGTTGAAACTGCAGCAGACTTGAAATATAAATGAAAGAAGGGCATTTTGTTACATTGCTTTAAATTGGGAGAGACAATGAATTAGAGAATAGGAGTAATGAGAATGTAGATGAATGTAGGAAAATTTGAAAGAGCAAGAGGAGCAGGAATTATGAACAGAAGCAAGGGCAAAATTGTGTAACATTTGGAACCACGAGATAATAAGTAGATTGCAACAGATTCGGCCCCTTTTTCAGCTAACGGTGATCTTTGTAGGATGGTCTGAATGTCTGACAAGGTCTCTTAAATTTAAATCTCCAGGATTCGATGAAAGAGACAGAAAATAAAATGGAGGGTATGCTGCTTTCTCATCCCCTTTGCTATTGAAATGAGTTCTAGTTTTTCAGGCTGGTAATGGGAAAGAAACAAGCATGCTTTTTTTTCCCTGACTACTATGTTTTGGTTTGTTTCAAACCTCTCATCGGCTAACATATCAACATGGTGTTTGTAAGGCAATATTAGAGAACTCTCATTTTACTACAGCTATTTGATTCTTGAGAAATATGTGGAAAAGCTGTTGTTATTTGGTTGCTTTTTTTGTCATTTAAGAAACTATCCTTCATTGAGTTATTTGAGGTACTTTGTAGAGTTTTGCCCCAGGATGTGTGGGGCTTCCCTGATCAAAGCAATGTTCTAGTTCCTGCAGTAAGAGATCAAGTTGTTAATGTATTAAATGGGTATGTGCGGAGAGAAACAACCATTTTTGTTTGTTATCCTTTAGATAAAGGCTGGGAATGGTATGTTTGTGAAGGCTTTCAGTATATACTCAAGAAGCAAGCTGAAGCCCTGCAAAAATTAGGGGTGTGCCCACGGATGAAGGTAAACAGACCTGAGAACATGAGCTCTGAATAAGTACAATTGATCTTGTTTATTTCACAAATATTGGTATTCTAAGATAGATGGAATAAACTTATCTTAAGAACTTACTGAGGAGGAAAAGATGGTAAATCTATGAAAATAAATATACTGGGCACAGTGTAGCAGGGCACTGAGGTGTGCTTGCTGCTTGCTAGTGGCAGAGGGGAGCTAATGAGAGACTCACCTAACCAGAGGGCTCAGGCGGGAGCTATGTAAGTCCAGAGCCTGCACCAGTCAGGCAGTCTCTCCCTGGTAGTCATGAAGTGAGGAGCTCCTGGCAACAGAGCAGAAGGGCTCCTGAAGGAACATGGATTTATCTAAGCCAGTGGTTCTCAACCTTCTTTGTACCAGGACTCATTTGTAAACATCAATGGCCAGTCCCAATCCTGTGCCCCTCACTCCTGGTCTGCTGCCCCCCAGCCCTCAGTGTGTGGGGCAGGGGTGGGTGTGTAGGGTAGGAGGGGCCCCAAGCAGCCCCATGCAGACTGGAACCCTGGCAGCCTGCAAGGAAAAAGCCATAGCTTTCCATGTTTTTCTCCTTTTAAAGGAGAATCCATTTTAAATGTTTGCTGATCCATTTTTAAAGTTTGTTTGCAACCCTTTCATATATTCTTGTGACCAACGGGTTGAGAAATGCTGATCTAAACAACTCTGCAGGGCTGGGATTAGAGGCAAGTTTCCTAGTTAGAGAAAGACTGGGTTTTACAGATAAGTGGCCTTTGTTTTATGTTAAACCCCTGGAGGGTTTGAGATGTCTGCCTGAGGGCTGAGCTGCTTCTTGTTTATTGAAGTTGCGCTGGTAGTTTACCCTTGTGCCCTGCTGGGGCAGGCTCAAGGCCTACTTAGAGAACTGGTAACCCAGGAGCCTACAGACTGAGAGTGGGGGCCCCTTGGTTTAGGAGCCTAGGAAAAGGCTGAGACCTGGACCAGAGGTCTAAGAGCCCAGAGGAGGGTCTGTGTGTGGGACCGGGGGTCCGAGAACCCAGAGGGAGACTGTACGTGGGACTAGGGGATATAAGGGCCCAAGGGGACCAAGTGTACAAATAAGTAACATCAAAGAAAGAGAACACTTTCAAGACTTGAGGCATGGTGTAGGGGAGGAACAGAGCCCTTAAAGCTGTGGGTTCCCTGGAGGGGTACAGATACTTATGTAGCCCTTGAAGCTACAGTTGCCCTGCAGGGCTACAGGCCAGCCAGGAGGGCCCATTGAGCTAAGGGTTGAATCAAGACTATAAAAGGTCCAAGTGAGATCCAGTGGTAATGCAAATGGACTAAGGTTCACTCTAAGACCTATGGGCAGCCTCCCTTATTCATCCTAAGATGAATGAATGAAAGGGAGAGCAATTTGAGGACGGCTGCAATAGAGAGTGAACTGGCCAGGAGTCACATGGCCACCAGGGGGTGTCACAACTACCCCTGCCACACAGCAAATAGTAATTCTAATTTTCCAATTAATGTTTTAGTGGAAACAGGCCCAAAACACTGTTCAGAACTTCTTAGTTGTATCAATAATATGTCTTCTTTTTTTAATTTATGATTTTATAAGGCTTAAACTAATCAATCTCTCTTGTTTATTTTTATCAGGATGAAATTCTCTGCAGTTTTTGGAGATGTTACCTTCAGAAGAGCAAACAGGCATATTGCCCTAGACCAGTTAATGACACTCCCCTGGAACTGGTTGTAAGTGTGAATTACAAAGCTGATATGCAAATGGTTTCTCTCATCCTGGAATGGTGTTCAGTCACATGTATGCATAGTTTTAATGTCTTGCTGTAAGGACTATCCTCATAGGAGAGTCTAAATAATCTATTTTGATGCTTTAAGACAATATATCCTGTTTTATGGATGGTTAATTGTTAATTTTTAATACCACATTTTATTAAAGCAGCACAAACTACATGTTATCTATTGGCCCGGCTTTGAAAATTACATAATGGCATAAAAACAGGTATATTAAATAAGGTCTGGGGTCTGTAATACAGCCTGTATGTAGGTGTTTATCTTTTAGGCATGCAAGTCTCTTTATTTTATCTGTAAAGAGAGAGCCAAATCTTAGGTCTTCTGTTCAGAGAAACCATCTGAAGTTAAAAGATCTCACGCAGGCTATGATCCCGTGTTTACTAGCCAATATATTAACTGTGCTTTTACAAATAAGGCCCATGTATTTTAACTAACTTCAGATAATTATGTAATTTATTTACAAAAACAGGTATCTGACAGTGCTACTGATGTGGATAGTGAACCAGAGAGAGTTAGTCCTTTTGACTTGTCATCTTTCACTGAAAGTGATATAGATTTACAGACAGAATGCAGCTTTGGACAGATTTCTTCAGTTGACAAGACCTCAGGTAGGAACAAATATGACTACCTGGAAAATCACTTTTTGACACAGTTAATGTGAATTTTGAAAATTTGACTGTTCACTTAGAAATCTTCACTGTATATTTTAATTCAGTGCACAACCCATAAATCCTTCTAATTAGTATTATTTCTAACAGACCAGAAAGTGGTTGGCATGGTTCTTCTCTGAGGAGAGAGAGAAGATAAACAGGCATACGAAACACATTGGAAGACAAAGAATAAAGTTCTATCATAGACTTCTCCC